GCAGAGAGCCGCGTCTCACGGACAGCAACACCGAACCAAGCTCTCCTTCGCGTCCTCCTGCACCTTAACGAACAATTACAAATCGCAGTTTAAACATGCAAACAGGAAAAGATGTGAAAGAGCCCACTTCAGCACCCATGCATGGTGTTCTGTGCGCACAGGGCGCACGCAGAGAGAGGCGTCTCAAAGCGCTTGAACACCGAAATTGCCTCTTCTTGCTCTTGTACTGACGAATACATACAAAATTATGTCAAAATACCCGAAAAAAAGCTGTCGGTTAAGTGAAAGTAAACAGTGGAGAAAGAAATTGGATGTGTATCATTATAATGGATGCATTGTCTCTTAAAGTGACCGTGCCTAATTTACTTGCTGCTGTCGGTGTCCTTAATGTTAATCCTAGAAAATGAAAGAAAGAAAATCACTCGCTGCTCTTGACTGAATTACTTTGTAGTTTTAACAAGAATTAATCCACAGTCACACCAAAAACTATTCAGACACCAGATATAATTTTTGATATATTTTTTTACTAGGTTCATTTATGTAAGTGAGGATAGCAAAATTAAGTAAACTGTGACATATTATATCCCAAAATTCTTCATACTGTGGACTACCAGTAAAATTGATTAAAAAAAATGTGGGACCAAAAATGATTCAGACACTTTGACCTGAGCATGTTTTGCTGAAGTGTTTTTTCTTTAATTGCTAATGCGACCTTTTTACACCACAGACTGAACAAAATTAAGCATTGCTTGGTAATTGGTCAACAAAGTATTATTGATAGTTGTGTAAATATTGCCATACTAACAGTTGTCTGAATTTTTGGTTGATTGTAATCCATTACATACCTTTCTATCAAAGTTATCTGACATTATCAAGATGAATTTGTTCTGACACAGTTTAACTCCAAATTTTATTACCATTTTCTAAACTACAGCAAATAAACTGTGATAATGTGAGAAATGTTGAAGGTGTCTGAATAAATTTTGGTTTGACTGTATATTTAATTTTTACAGTGAAGACTATGCAGTGCTATTTTGCACTTGATTATTCGGTTTCTGCACCTGGACGCCTACAAACTTGAAAAAACATAAACATTGTGTAAATATCACAAATAATATAATACACAAAATAATAATATCCCTGGTGATTAGCAGATAATCAAAGATTGATTTACAAACCTCACATGTAAATGCAGAAGATGAAAATGAAGATGTTAAATGTACATGTGTATAAAAACCTGCATTTGTAGGTTGTAATGAAGATGTTGTGTTATTGTCGTGGCTGTTAGCTGCTGGTGAGTTCAGGGTTTCTATTCTGAGACATTTGGATGCAAACAATGTAGGCAGAACTCTTTCACACACAGAGAGAGAGAGCTTGCAGTCAATCAGCAGCTGCTCGTCTGGGGCAGTTTAGTAGATAGAAATCTCAACACTTCAGGCAATTTCTCAGTCTTGTCTCTCTCTGTGAGGTTTTCAATGTCAAGGTCAGCGCTCTTGTGCTCTGGGGAAGCTGTAGTTCTGCAGTAGTGTACTCTTACTGCGTTTTACTGCATCATCATCATCACTCGTGTGCTGTATCCTGATGTTGTTTTGTTCAGAGGTTGTTGAATGAGTCCGTGTGGATTCCTCTTCTGCTCCTGACGGGATTCTGCTGTTTTCCGTCTGCTCCGTTCGATGGATCGCTGTTATTGAAGAGTTTAAAACAGACTAATGGGGGTCCACATTTTGCTTGCAAGGGTTTGAATTCTAAACACTTTTCCTCTTGTAGGTGTTTAAATATTTAAACATGATTAATGATTGAAACGAATCGCCCGAATAGATCGGCCTCGGTTAGCAGATTACCATCCGCTGCGCTTCTGCAGCCGGCCAGAAAGGCTCCTAAAACAGATCTGGTTCATTTCTGATGTCTGTGTTTGTGGTGAGATGTGGTGTGTTTCTGACACGTGTGTGTGTGTGTTCCAGCGGTGGTCAGTGCCATCCCAGTTCCCACGCTGGACAGCAGTCAGTATCCGGGCATCCTGCCATCGCCCACCTGCGGATTCACCACACACCCCAAATTCACCCTGCGACCCATGCCTTTCTCCACACTGAGCGTCGACCGTAGTTACGCTGCCGGTAACTCGTCTATCTATCTATCTATCTATCTATCTATCTGTCTATCTATCTATCTGTCTATCTGTCTGTCTGTCTGTCTCTGTCTGTCTGTCTGTCTCTATCTGTCTGTCTGTCTGTCTGTCTTTCTATCTATCTGTCTGTCTGTCTCTATCTGTCTGTCTGTCTATCTGTCTGACTTTCTATCTATCTATCTATCTATCTATCTATCTATCTATCTATCTATCTATCTATCTGTCTGTCTGTCTGTCTGTCTGTCTCTTTCTATCTATCTGTCTGTCTGTCTGTCTGTCTGTCTCTTTCTATCTATCTGTCTGTCTGTCTGTCTGTCTGTCTCTTTCTATCTATCTGTCTTTCTGTCTGTCTGTCTCTTTCTATCTATCTGTCTTTCTGTCTGTCTGTCTCTTTCTATCTATCTGTCTTTCTGTCTGTCTGTCTCTTTCTATCTATCTATCTATCTGTCTGTCTGTCTGTCTGTCTGTCTGTCTTTCTATCTTTCTGTCTGTCTGTCTGTCTGTCTGTGTCTGTCGGTCGGTCGGTCGGTCTGTCTGTCTGTCTGTCTCTATCATCTATCTATCTGTCTGTCTGTCTGTCTGTCGTTATGTCTATGTATTGTTTGTTATATTGGTCGTTATATCTATCTGTTATTCGTTATATTGTTTGTTATATCTTTCTTTCGTTCGTTATATTGTTTGTTATATCTTTCTGTCGTTCGTTATATTGTTCGTTATATCTTTCTGTCGTTCGTTATATTGTTCGTTATATCTTTCTGTCGTTCGTTATATTGTTCGTTATATCTTTCTGTCGTTTCTGTCGTTCTTCGTTATATCTTTCTGTCGTTCGTTATATTGTTCGTTATATCTTTCTGTCGTTCGTTATGTTCGTTATAT